TAAAAATATAAAATTTGGCTATATTGACAATATATTTAATAAAAGTATTTTTATATTCAATAAAATTATTAAATATATTAGGTTTGTTCGACTTGCTTACATTTTTTACACTTAGCATCTTCGTTTTCTCTCTCTTTTCAGTGCCAAATATATATCTATCTCATTTTAAGTATAAAAAGTGTAAAAAAAGTGTAAGTCGAATAGCCCAATTGTTAATATAATTAAATTACATCTTGCCAAAAGAAAAAAGTTTTACTGGATTGTTTATGATTTAGCGTTCGCGGCATTTTTCCTCGAGTCTTTTGTATATTTTATGTATACTTATTTCATCGTCATAACTTTACTGCGCAAGCATTGCGCGGTGTCCAGCTGATAGCACCGACACCGCAGTGTGAAGGAACAGATGGCGAGCCGGTTCCCCATTTTGTGACGTACAAACATGGCGACGAGTTCTTTCGGCGGGAAACATGTCTCTTGGCTGTCTTGGTCAGCGTCTGTCGTGCGTCGCAGTTCGTTATCATCGAACAGCCTATGTGTCTACAACGCGGGTTTTTCAGCGAGTTTTAGTATCACATGAAGAATATTACGGAAGATATAAGAAGCGACATAAAGGTATCTTGCCGATAACCTCAAGAAGTTACGCATTGTCTACATAAATCAATAAGTTGCTGTTGTAAAAGGGAGCTTAATCAGCATCGAGATAATTACTATAGATATTAATTATGATATCCTGATATTTTGTATCTCGTAAAACGCAATAAACTACAACGATCTGAAAACTGATTTAGTAGATTGTTTGATTAGCAGTTTCTCAAAAAATTTATTATTAATGATCATTAATATCATCCTATGACAATATAAAATTAAAATCTTGCGCAATTAGCTTACATTAGAAACACTGTACTGTTTCAGTAAAAAATAACTGTATCATGGAAATGCTTTCAACGAAACTTTACAACAATCCGTTTACGATCTGCATAGAAGGAAATATAGGAAGTGGTAAAACAACGTTCTTGAATCATTTCCAGAACTTTAACAATGCAACAATTTTACAAGAGCCAGTGGATTTGTGGCGAGACGTGGCTGGAGTAAATTTGTTGGTAAGTTCTTTTAAAAATAACATATTTTGGGGGATCCATACATATCTCCATTGATATATGAGACCTATAGTTTAACATCGGATCCGAATGGTGATCAAAGATCTCTTAATCGCTAGATGGAATCATTTCCTTAAACGCGAAAAAACGCGTATATGGACGCAGGGGATTGAACCCGGATTTACAGATCGCGAGTCAATCGCACCGGGCGACAAGCACTCGACGCCTCCTAAAGCTAATACTCAATTTCTTCACTTCCAGATAAGTTGCAGATAACTTTATCCAGAAGATATCTCCATTATAATCTGGAAGATATCTCTTGGATAAAGTTATCTAGGAGTGAAGAAATCGGGCACAACCTTGCTTTATGAAGCCGTAAGCTATAAATTGTAAGATGTAAATGACAATATATCGGCCATAGAACTTATATTTTTAGACCATTAGAATTCGGTTTTGCTCAATTCGTTTAAGTCTAACGATTAAAGCCTAAGACTGCGCAAAAAAAATATTGAAGATAGAAATTATTGTTCTTAATCTCTTTCGACTTATGTCTTAAGGTTTCTTAAAGCAAGATTATAGACTAAGACTAGTATAGCTATCTGAATAAATATTTATTGATATGAGTGTATTAATACCAAACAAAAATAAATATTGATAATATTTTTAGGATTTTTTCTATAAGGATCCAGTACATTACGCCTTCTTGTTTCAATCATACGTTCAGTTGACTAGGCTACAATTACATACTATGGCTACACCATCGCCTTATAAAGTTATGGAAAGGTCCGTGTTTAGCGCAAGATGTTTCCTAGAAAACATGAAGCGCACGCACATGATACAGAATGTAGAAGCGATAGTTTTAGAAGATTGGTATAATTGGTGCATGGAAAATACGAATATAAGGGCAGATTTAATAAGTATATATATCTCTATCAATTAAGCAAAATATTCTTATATAAAACGCAATTTTCTCCTTTCATTAAATTGTATTCTTTTTTGTGTCTGTAATTTAGTATATTTGAGGACAACGCCTGAAGTCGTATTTCAAAGAATGCAAGCACGTGCGCGCAGAGAAGAGGATTCTGTGCCGTTGGAGTATCTAAAACAAATTCACGAGATCCACGATGACTGGCTCTACAGACAAACTCTATTTTCTTTACCGGCACCGGTTATGATCATAGACGGTGACAAAAGTCTCGAAGAAATGGTGCCTCAATTTGAGAAATGTAGAGACCGTATACTCAATGAACAAACTGATGGCACAACAAGCCCTAGAATCGTATTAAATACTAAAGCATAACACAGGCTATTTGTGCTAATATTATGTTTATTTGAGAATAGATTAATTATATTATAGGGTAATTTTTTCATAACCATATATAATCATAAGTTTGTTTGCGTTGCTTGCACTTTTTGCATTCATTGTCAGAATCTACTTTAAGAAACACTCGAATATATATTTATTTCATTTTAAGTGCAAAAATTTTTAGGTATTTCAAGCAATGTGAACAGACTTGATGTTTTATCTTGTTCTATTATTTCATAAAGTTTAAAAACTCTTTCAAAATTCAACAGCATGGTTCTTATGACTTACCTTCAGAGACTGAAATGATACTGTGTTTCGGGAAGGTAGGCTGATTGTCATTGACGTCGATTACCCGTACGCTCAATGCAGCGGTACCGGTTAATTGTGGGTTTCCTTGGTCCGTTGCGATGATAGTCAATCTGTACTTCTCACGGATCTCACGATCTAGGACTATATTGGTCCGAACGATTCCGCTGTATGGTGGACTTATGGTGAAGGCATTATCCGGATTACCATCCACAATATGATATAAGATTCTATTATTTAATCCTTGATCGGCATCACTTGCTGAAAGCTACGGCAGCAAGTATTGACATATAAATTTGTGCGTTTAACACATTTTTAATATATTTATCATATTATCTATTCTTATATCTAAACTTTGTTAAGACAAAAAAGTACAAATAAATTCATTTGCACCTTTGGATTCTAATTATGTCATATTTTTTTTAAACTTTTTCTTAAACCCTGTTATAAAAATAATTTCCTTATAGATTTTCATATCACATATGATTCGTACTTTAATTAGTTTCGTTATGTAAAGAGCTGTAATATATTAAATATAAATATAAATATTATATTTTAATAATATAATATTAGAATGTAATATAATATCAGGGCAATGTTAGATCGTAAAAAGTTTTCTTACCTTCACGACAAAATCTCCTTTGGTATTGCCTTCGAGTACAGTAGCCGAGTACTGTGTTTGCGTAAAGATTGGTGGATTATCGTTGATATCGGATATCCTGATAATTACTTTGACATATGCTTCCAAAACTTCTTGGCTCCTCGCTATCACATTGAGAATGTGCCTTGAGCTTTCTCTAGGTATCTCCTTCGGCTGCTGCCCCTCTAAAGATCTACCCCATGAATTCATGCGCCCCGTGTCGCCTGACAATTCGTTATTGGATTTTACAGTCATGTCATTCCAAAATTCCGCGTCCAACCTGGTAGGATCATTGACGCGCAACAGACCAGTGTCTTCATCGATCGCAAAGGTATTATAATTGTTTCCGGACGCGATCGAATATGTGACGCGCTGTTTCCTGCCATCGGTACGTACCGCGGTAATTTTAACTATTTCCGTGCCAGTCGCTGAATTTTCCTGAATAATGACATTGTATGTGTCATTCTGAAATTTCAAGCTGGGCGTCAGGTCCGCGAGGTGGCCGACTTGAAGCTCAATTAAACCCTTAGCGCTCTTCGGCGGATTACCCTTATCCTGAGCCAACACCTCCAGATAGTACGTTTTGCCATTATCTTGCGACAATGATAGGCTTGCCGTTACTTCACCAGTACTAGGATGTATTCGAAATTTTGGTTTCTCTTGCTCGTTTATCAATGAGTATACGATATCACCGTTTACACCATCGTCAGCATCTTTAGCTGATATTCGGAGAATGTTCTGACCTGGCTTCGTACTGATGGGCACGCGTGTCCGAAAAGGGTACTCCTCGAAAATTGGCGCGTTATCATTTATGTCGCTGATGATGATCTCGATGGGTATCGATGTACTTTTCGCATCATACATGCCGCTGTCCGTGGCAACCACGAGGAAGGTGTAGTTGCTTTGACGTTCACGGTCCAATGGGCTGTATCGAACAGGAAGAAACAGACATTAGTTATAGAATAATATAACAGGTTTATTGCAATCACGAAATTGAAAAGTAAAGAATAAAAATATTAATTTAATAAAAAGAGATTGCAATTTACTTCCTTTAGAATCTAATTTAATATCAATAAAATACATTAAATTAATAGTTTTCCTTGTTAATAAAAATTATGATTGTATTATTTTCAATAAAATAGATAAATATTTTGTTTCTATGTTATAATAATAAAAAATTATTACGAGATCACAAAAAAAGTTATTGGAACGAATTCTGATTTAGTCTCACATTATTGTACTTTAAATTAATTTTCTTAAAACAATGCTATTAAGAAGTTACGCAAATGCAAGTCGAGCAAGGAAGAGAAGTTCCCAGCGTGCCTTCGCGATACAACATAACGCTCGTAATAATTCTTAATAAGCGTGGGATAATGATCAGTCGTCGGTAGTGCACGAGTTCGATACGCTTATTTACGATTGCGCGAAGCTAACTCGAATACTCCATAGTTATCTTCCGCTCTAGTATCTGCTGTATCTGCTGACTGCAATTCGAAGTATGCAGTACGAATCTCTATCGCATTTGAACATAACGACAATTGCAAGAAATATTTCATTTGAGAATGATTCAAGGAATGCAAGTATTTTTTCATTTTGCGATTGATGTTATCGCTGAATTAATTAATGAAACACAATACACATAGATTTATATGAAAGACATATGGGTAGATAACGGTTAATTTAATAAAAATTTCGCACTTTGATTACAGGAAATTTATTGACACATCATTTCCATAAAAGATGATTTTGCTGAAGTATCTAAAAAATTGTTCTTCTTGAAGTGCACAATTTTTTCATCAGAGGAACTCCTTACCTATCATACACAACAAAAATAATTTTGTTGGATCATCAAAATAATTACAGGAAACTCAAGCATAATGAGCAATGCTTGCAAAAAATATTGATATTCTAGAAATTAGTTTGAGTGTTACACAATTATTATGATCGTCTAACAAAATTATTTTCAGATCTATATCTAACTAAAAAATTAGATCAATAGTTGTTCAAATCAACGATCAAATTTAATTTACTTGTAAGATTAATATTATTTTAGTGATTGTGTTGCAAGTTCGAAAGTAATCAACGAGCAAGCAAGACTAAATGTATTTAAAATTAATTACATATTAGAATTATTATTCTAACATCTAATTTTGACACAGTTAACGCTTCTTATTTTTCTTTTAGTCTTAATTTATATTTAAATTTTTAGATATTTCAACAAAACTGTCTTTTCCATATAATATCGTCTCATTGTTCTTTTTATCAGTTCGCACTATTTATCAAATCGTTCTAAATGATGAGAACTGATTCTCGTTTGACCCGTATATTGTCTCTACCGGGTGGTCTCCAGAGAAAGCAAAAGAAGGGAGAAGTATCGAGAGGTGCTGCAGAACGACAGTGCGGCTTTCAAAAGGTAAGAGGAACGAGACCGTAGTCTCGTCGCAAGAGCAACGGCAATAAGGCGACACGAAAGTCGAGTCCACGGCTACTGATCAAGGGAAGAGGATACCAAAAACAGAAGCAAGAGGAGAAAGAAAAGGCGGAGGAGACGATGAAACGAGACGACTGTGGCCGCGGCGGGAAAGGATGAAGAGAGAATGAGAGAGACAACGAAAGTGGGAGAGGCGCGGCAAAAGAGTAGCTCGAACCGAGATCTGGTTTTGCATATCAGGAGGCATTTTGCCGGCTGAAATAATGCATTGAAATGCCAGATGGCGTCTCGCTGAAATGACACACGGCTGTCGCGACGCAAAAGTATGCGCCCCTCTGAGCTCCTTAGTCCTTTCTATGACTACCGACTA